TTGGCTGGGAGGGGCAGATAAAAAGGGCCAAAAAGGGCTAAAATTTACCTTATAAGTAATAGCATCAGAATTATTTCGACATTACAAACACGACCTAATGGTCAATTTACATCAACATTGATGTTGTTATCTTACCGTGAAAAGTTGGGCTTCTGATATCCAATATTAAGACAAAATGAAAATTTTAAAATTGGCACATGAATCGTGTGCCAGAATTTTGTATGAAACGACTCGATGAATACTACCAATGTAGACTGGAATAACCGGATGGCAAAGACCGCCATTCGATTCTGACTCTTCGCGTATTTCGCCGAACATAACTGATTACATTAAAAATCAGTTTATATACATTCATATTACATTGTTATAAGCGTTGCAACCCATTTGTGTCCATTTCTAGAAGTCAAAGAATAGAGATTTATCTCCTTTTAATATGTATTACATTTTTTCATGGCATTATCTTTTGTACAAGAATCTAATATGGCATTATACACAACAAAAGAACTATATAATCAGTACATTGCAATTCTATTGGAAGTATATACCAGTTTTTCGGAGGATGGCAGCAGAGATAATAATATATTTGGTGATTTTACTACTTTCCATTTTGAAAGGAAGATAGTGAATTACTTTGGAACAGAGAAATTGACATTATTATCACCAAGAGAGGGGGGGGGGGAGGGAGGGGGGCAACGTCCACTCGACACAAACTAGGTTATTTCGGGACTAACATATGGTTCAATTTTATTTCAATAATCGCTTGCGCGTAGAGGTCTATAGCAGTGGGTGGAAACCAGAGGACCCCGAGAAAACCCACGAGGATGGACAGGCCACCCTACTCCTTGTCACGCACAACCGGGGAATCGAAACCACGCCAATTGACTCAATGACAGACCTTATGATACAGCACGCACGTGCTAACCATTCAGTCATCGCCCCCCCCCCCCACCCACCAATTATCATCAAATACTAAAGGAAATATCATTTATAACAATATGCCCTACTGATACCAGTCAGATTTGATATTATTAGAACCGACTATAATACACAGCTAACATTTGACACCAGTTTCAGTCATATTACTTATGAGGCAAAATTTGACCCCTTTCGTGGACGTGGCAGATGAGGCACATTTAAGTGGTCAGTTTAGGGGTCTGCCCCAATGAAACCAGCCAGATTTGATATTTTTAGAACCATCTCATAATTAACTAACATAATTGGCACCAATTTCAATCGTATTACTTATGAGGCATTTTCGAGCCCCCGTCCACACTTTTTAGAGCAATCAGATAGGTGTGTGGCCCCATTTTTTCCAGTCAGATTTTGCATTTTCAGATTCAGATATAGCACCACAACATTTCAAAACTATTTCTGATCGTATTACTTACGATGCAAATTTTGATCTTCTTTGTGGGCGTGGCAGATCGGGCAGATGAGGGATGTGCCCCACTGAAACCAGCCAAATTTGTTAATCGGCTCGTACATAGCTAACATTTGACACCAATTTCAAAAATTTAGTCATTGAGAACAAACCACTAGACCTCGATCTTACTTTGGGTGTCATACCAAACCCTTATCTGTATGCATATAGATAAAAGCATTAATTATGCCTAGTCAAAACTTTGCGAAGCGATTTCAGTCAAGGTGAACTGGGTATCGTATAGTACATATTTGATGACTGCGGATATAACATGAATGAATGAGGCAATTGCCATTTCGAATAGCCAAGACAATCGCATGACGTTAAGATTGCTAGCGTATGACTGCATTGGCTATTTAACACAGCGTTGCTATAACTGTGTGACAGGATTTTGATGTAATCTGTGTATGTAATGGTTGCATGTTTATAACGTGACATTTAAATCATAACAGTGATTAAGGTTATGTTAGAAGATGTTTTACACGTTTCAGACGGTGGAGATACATTGATTAATGTATATTATGTTTTCTATGTAGACATTCACTGTCATTAGAAGTTAAACAAAAAAAGGAAAAAAAACCAGACCAGATTTTCCAGTTTCAAAATTGTGAATAAGTATTGTGTAATTACAAAATTTTGCTGGCGGGGTAGTCTGATGTGCTGTGCTGTGTTAGCTCATAAATGACTTACTTGGGTAGCCTCCAAACGCCACCTCCTTCCATATACAGAGATTGGCTCATATCTTACCCCATTTATCTTGTAAATATTTGACCACCAGAGTTGCTAAACAATTGCGAAAGGCAGTTCTTACCAGTCTGTTTTAGAATATGACAGCATTGTTTTGAAAATGAAGTTGTGGCCATTTTAACACGGCAGTTATGCTAAAGTAGGAGTTGTAAATGATACCCATATATGATACCCATATATATTTATCTTTAAATAGATCGAAATAAGATTGATAATAGAATTGTCACCTGCCTTTCACTTGTATTCCACCTGCTTTTTTTGTTCTATTATTTAAACCAGACAATAATTAATCTAAGACTGTCTTGCTATAATCGCCATAAGCAAAAGTCGTCCCTATACACAGCGCCTGCATTATAATCTTTCAATTTCATGTGATGTCTCTTGGGTTTTTATTTTAAATGGAAACACTATGATATTTCAATATTTAATGACTTGTTCATTATTCAAATGTATAAATATATTTTGAAAATTTGAACATTTTTTTTGAAAATTAAATGTGTAGATTTTTGAAAATTAAAAAGAATAGCAACTTATCTTTAAAACTTACCAATACGGAAATTCAATGAAAGAATACTTGTTTTTTTAGAGATAGCTATTCATTGGTAACTGATACGACAAAAGATTGAGTGCTATCCATATGAATTGCCTTCATGAAGTTTTCCATCGCTTCAAACGACCCAGTACTTTTTTTACTATTTATTTACTGCTCTGTTTGAAGTTGGCAGCAGTTTCCAATGTTAGCTTTCTCATTGTTAACCAAGTTGTGATTTGACATATTTCCGATATACTGATTGCTACATTGAAGATACTGGTCATCAAGAAAACACACAAATACAAAAGGTATCATTTTCTGAGATTGTATGATATTGCTTCTGAAAGACAATTTCCTGTTTGTACTATTTTAAAGCACATTTCGTCTGGGGACAGTGGATACACCGATATTTATTTACTTTTCTTTCATTTAAAATATAAAATATCATTGAATGAAATCATATTTTTAAATATACAAAATAGCCACTTTGTTTGCCAAGCTCTCTCTCACCAAATGAGTTTGTTGTGATTTTGCTCAATGCGACTCAGTTTGTTGTTTTCTTGTTTGTCCTTTTTTGTAGAGGGTGAAAGTGGGGGAGGGGGTTGTAATTTGATGGTTTCTTGTCGCCATTCCGTCATTCGGCCTTAACAGACTATGTATACATATATATCTTGGACTACTATCATTGAAGATTATTTTTTAATTCTCACCCATTTTCTGGTAAATCCCCAGACATTCGACACGCGGGACACTGCTTGGGTAGTTACTTTTAATACTAATTCACTATCGGTGTTATTATTTATAGGAGTAACTGATTTTATGTTGAACAGCAGATAGATTATACAAATTACGAAACTAAAAATTAATCAAACGGATCTTGTCCCATCACTAACCGAAATACCATACGAGATCAATTGGTTTCAATTCATCAATATTTGACCTATGTCTTGCTTATTTTAGTATTAATTACTCGAAGGTAATTTGTGCACTAGGTAATGATTTATTACAAACATCCTTTCATCACCTGCCGTAAATTTAATATTTATTACAATCAATGACATGTAACATTATTACAAATATAACAGGGGATCACGTGGCTAAGTGGGTAAGACGCAAGCTCGCTAGCCTGGAGGTCGGGTGTTCGATCCCTGCATTGGCCGAGATAGTTCATCCAGATTTTCCGTCGTGGTTCTCCCTTGTCAGTGATGCAGGACGGAGGGGCTGACATGGAAAGCTGTCTAGTCGTTCGGATGGGACGAAAAACCGAGGTCCCGTGTACACATTGGCGTGCACGTAAAAGATCCCTTGGCAGTTGGAATTCGATATAAGAGTAGGCCGTAGTGCCGCTGTCCGGGCAAAATTTCCCTCATAGCACACTGTATGGCGTATGCCGTCTTCATTAGCCCAGGTTAGGAGCAGAACAGTAGGACGTTAAACTCCATTTCATTTCATTTCATTTCATTACAAATATAACAGATAGTTTCTTTAAAAACAACTTCGATCCAGATATCACGTGTCATGTGATCCGTCTCCTCAAATACAGTGTAAAGTGTTAAGGTATACACTTCGTACCATGCATGACTGCATACGTTAACTCCGTCTTCATTAGCGCAGTCGGGACAGAACAGTAGGATGTTAAACCCCATTTCATTTCATTTCGCATGCGCTGGAGCTAAATCTATTTGTTAAGGCCAGTTCAGTTTTTGTCAAGGTCGTTGAGATGTAAATAAGGTTAGGGCCCGTGATTGTTGGCAAGATTGTAGGTTAGGGTAAGCATTGGGGCTAGGTCCAGGGTTTGGATTAGAGTTGTGATTAGCGCTAGCCCTGTTTATCATTTAGCACTAACCATACGCTGACTTTGTAGAGTTGTATTAAAAGATCAGTGAGGTTGACCAATTGCCCTATTAGACTAGATTTATCCATTTTTAAAAGGTGCTGCGATTGAGAAGTAGGTTACAGTATGTCGTCATTTTAAAGACGTTTATCTGCAGGTTTAGCAGACACAACTAATTCAACTTGGCAAGCTCCTACATAAATCCTTAATGTATGTTTGGAATCCACTTTTATGTTGCCAAAACACACTTCTTTAAATATAATGGAGAAAACACTTACAAACGTAAGAAACGTATGTAATAATGTCATAATTTACGATATTATCCCAGAGTTTTAATAAAAAGGAATTACAAGAGCTTTCTAGCACTTAAAACTTTTTCTTATTTTTATATGTTGATTTGTCCTTTATTTATCTTTATTTATTTTTTTAAGTATTGTAGTTACTTATTGCGAATTGTCTTCTTTCAGTTTATTCCAGTCATGTGTCCTCGAGCAATGTATAGAAAGATGTGGACGATTCGAGACAAGAAATTCTACTGCCGCTAAATCTGAAAAATAAGGCTTCTCGTGGTTAGCATAACCAGGAACACTGCTGACTCTTTATCACACCACGTGTGCAGGGATTAATGGTGTGAAACCCCTTGGTGTCGTGTTAAATTATTGCTTAATCATTTTATTCCGTTATTAAAATACGAATAATTTGATTTGAATAACAGGGTATGTGCGGTGTTTAAAAAAAATAACGATTAAAATTACCAATTGCTAGTTCAAAATGAACGGAAGACCGACAAATACGAGGCGCAAACCTCGTCGAGAACCAAAAAAGGGTAAAAAGAAGAAAAATAGTTCCAGTTGTTGCTGTTGTTGTGCTGATAAAGTAGCAGATACAGAGACAGCCAATGAATCTGATTCGCCACCACCAGCCTCGCCTTCATTAGAACTGGACACGGAACAGGAAGTGACGACAGGTTGTTGTTGTTGTCGCAAAAAGAAAAAGGTAAAAGTAACGAGCGAGAGTAAATGTGGTAAATGTTGTAGAAAATTGACAACTTTCATGTTTTCACATATTGGGTTGTGTTCGTTGGTTGTGGCGTATTCAGTTTTGGGTGGTTATGCATTTATGTTATTGGAATCTCCACACGAAGTTATAGAACGGAACAATGTGGAGTTGATTCGAAAGGAACAAGTGCAAAGGTTATGGAATGTGACTAAGGAATTAAATGTTTTCTATGAACAGAATTGGACGATTATTGCAGATGAAGTGTTTAAGTTTTTTCAGGATGAAGTGTTTTTAGCAACTAAAGAGAAAGGGTGGGATGGTAAGGACGGAGACAAAGAGCTACAGTGGTCCTTTGCTGGAGCTCTACTTTATTCTGTTACTGTTATTACTACTATAGGTAAGAATGTCTACTTTATTATGTTACTGTTATTACTACTATAGGTAAGAATGTCTACTTTATAATGTTACTGTTATTACTACTATAGGTAAAAATGTCTACTTTATAATGTTACTGTTATTACTACTATAGGTAAAAATGTCTACTTTATTTTAATTACGGTCACCATTAACAAAACAACACCAGATGGTATTCACTGGTTAATTAATGGAGATGTTTACTGTTTGATCAGTCTCCAAGTTTCAGATACGGATTGGAATCTTGTGCTTAATTTTCTCTGTAATTTGAAACCCAAACCCTGGTGCTACACCACTCTGAACTGCAAGATGACAAATATCGACGTTCCAACATGAAACATTTAGATATAATTAAAAGAGGACAGAAACTCATAAATTTCTTATTAAAAATTGGTGAGTTTTTTTCTTTATAATGCACAGTTGAATAATGTCTGTAGGGGCTACACTTTATGTTCCTTGAAGGAATCGAATGGAACGAAGCTTTACGCTTGTTTAGCTTTCTATTTACGTCTAAAAGTAGATTGGCCAGGGACGAGAATATCATCGTTTTTATGACTATGGTAGCTGACAGTAGCCATGCTTAAACCCACAGCACGACATTTGATGGAAGTTTCTAGCTGTTTAAAATTGCAGGGAATCTTTATCACCAATACATCATTGACATCCAGTTTTATTCAGAAAATCTTAATCGTAGACAGCACCCCGTTGACCGATATAAACGCTTAGTGTTTTTGTGGCTCATGAAAGGATAAAATGGTTATCTTTCGCAAGTCCATTGTTCATCAAATACATTCTGAACAGTTTGGCACAAATCTCCCTTTATGAGCAAACAATAAACCATACTGTTACATTGAGTTTTGGTAGTCAGATCGAATTCTTTTTCGATTGTATATCTAGTTCTATGATGTTCATCGTCTAGACGATTTAGCATTACTCTATACAATAACATACCAGCCTCTCTATGGTACCAAATCTCTTTGACGTTATTATATCATGACTTTACTAGACTGCACGTGGCAGATGCTAGACAAAGAACTAGAACAAAGTAAAACTTATAAAGTGGTATAGTCCATAATAACCTATATCCACGTACAACAAATATAACCCAAACGAATCGGCAATTGTGGAAAACCATTTTAATTTGGAAATAAAAGCATTTGAACAGCGCCATCTAGTAATTTTTGTTTTTAAATTAGTCTTTTTCTCGAAGAAATAAGATGTAAAATTTAACAGGCGTTCCCAAAAAACAGAACATCAAATCGGTGTGTCATTATTGGTATTTTGGGCTTCTTGTAGATAATAGACAATCAGATGTTAATTCTGTTTCGTTTAATTTCATTACTATGTTGATATCTGACTAATCAATTGGCTGTATTTATATTCGTCGCTGCGTATTGTGGTGAATTATCGTAAAGCTTTAATAGGAGTGGTTTAGACATTTGGAATACAATAATTGTATGATATGCAAGTTACTCATGGTAATAATAGATAGGTGGGAACATTACAATGCAGTTTAGTATCAGAAGAAACAAAACGATGGAAGATAACTGTTGCGGCGCATAACATGCAGGAATCACGGTGGCTCAGTTGATAGGGCGCTCGCTCACTAGCCATGAGCTCCTGTGTTCGACCCCGATGTTGGCCGAGAACCATTCCGATGGTATCTAGTGTGGTTCCCCGTGTCAGTGGTGCAGAACCGGGGTCTAACAAAGAACGGTGTCTAGTTGTCCATATGATATGAAAACCAATGGACAGGTATAAACGTTGGTGTGCACGGTTGGAGTTCTATGTAAAGGTAGATTATAGCGCCGCTGTCCAGGCAACCCTTCCCTCCCTAGGACGTAAACCCCCATTTAATATGATATTATATAACATCCGACGTATTTAACTGACTCTATATTTCTTTGGAACCTATAAGTTATCAGATATATTTATTTCAAAATGGCAAATATAATTGAAAATCGGGTGTAGTTAGAATAATATGGTTTAATAAACAATGTCAGTTATACTAAATAGATCTCTTCGGATACTGGATGATCGAAACCCAGAGATTTTTGCCACCCATCCGTTGGACTTGACATATTTACACAAACAACTATTTAAAAATGAATTTAATAATATAATCTAAATGGAATTTTCTTTATCTATTGCGTTTTAATTTAATACTGGTTTTGCACTTACTGGAATATTCTCTCATTCGTTGATGAATTATTTCATACCTCCCATTGGAGAGATTACGTTCACTTGTAGGCTAGAACAGAACACTTTGCATAACCCATAAAAGACAAGCCCAAGGGTATCATTTTGATACCGACAAATGACCTTTCTTTTAACCGCATGGTATTACCGACTCAAAACAAACTTCCATTCATGTTTGGATCATTAATATATCGACCAAAACCAGACTCGTGTTAATATACTTTATCTTGAGAGAACAACCCTATGTTTTATTTCTTTCTAAAACAAGAAATAGTTTAACTTCGGCTCATTGAAATAACATGAATTTCAGGATATTAAATTAAATAATTATGTCATATCATGGACTGCATGAAATCTAAATATCTCGGCCAATAAAAATAACAATGAAATTTTAAATTCCACGTCTTTTAGTCTTCCCAACAGCTAATTGTATTTTCATGTTCCACTTTATTTAATGCGGATGTTTTCGTTGTTTCATGCCATCAGTATTAATGAACAATCAACTATTGGAAATGTAGATCGATATGGAATAATAATCAGTTTTATTTTGGTTTCATGATTTAACATATGTTTCAGGGATTGAATGTTTTTATAATTGCACCTGACCACTCTTGATCGCCCGCACCGACTTCTGATTCTATTTATAGAGGCATTTTACTAAAGAGACATTATATAAGATTCAGATAAAGAGCTGGCCGTTCTTGTTGCAATAGTTAACACTTAGATAAAGTGATATATTTAGTCAAATTTCAACATTATTCTATGTAAAGTTATGAGTGTTTGAAGTTTTGACAGTACTTGACAATCGAAACTAAGTCTCGGTTATCTACTTTATCGTTAAAATCTCTCTTAAATGAGAGTGTTGGTTATGGGCCTTTCGTGTAAATAAATGTTGAAATAATAGTTTATATAACATTTGAACCCAGAGAAAAGACCTACAATAGGCAGATTTAGCTCCTACATAATGCATCTTTAAACAGAAGACAATCAAAACTGGATCAAATCTGAAATACTTTAGAAAAAAATAAAGTTAGTCCATACTTACTCGGCATAAACGTGCGCATTATATTCAGTAGCTTTTTGAGAGAACGCCCATCTTTAATTTTGACTTGATTAGCTAGAATTTGGAACCATTCTGAATGAAATACTATAATTTGTATCCCATATCAGACTTGCCCTCAACTAATCAATCATTTATCGATGATTGTTTAATCCCAACGAATCTCTGTGAAATCTTTTTCTTGAAATCGATTCAACCCTTAAAGGGACACACTGTCTTAAAATAACTTTCTTCAAATCAGTTGCATTTAATATTAAACTTTATTTACTGTGGGGTAGAGAAATATGATGTAATAATTAAATGGTTGGGCTACGGATGTTATTAAGATACAATTTAGATTTAAAATCGATCCATTTTGTTATAAGGACTTATGAGTGTAATAATGTACGAGGGTACTTTTCACTGAATTGCGCATTTGCATCCATTTGTGTAAGGTATTTCGTCTCAAATCATTTGGCTAGTTTCCCGATACCAGCAAAACATCAGGCCTTTGTAATTAATGTTTCTATATGATCTGAAAATTAATCCTATTTGATCTTTGACTGTTACAGTATTTTCTTTGCCTCGGCCGTTGATAAGTATTTTTAATTTTGTTATTTGTATCTCTTTAACTGATTGGTTCCGTTCCTGCGTCTTTAAATTTCATTTTCCTTCATGCGATAGTTTATTTGACATTTATACATTTCATAGCTCGTTTGTCCGCTGATTAAAATTGCTTGGATGCAACTTTTGCTACTAAAACGCAACTTAATCATTGATTTATGTAGCAATGGTTGAACTTAATACATATCTTTTTAAGAACTGCTCAAAGTGGTAGCCTAGGATAGCGGGGATGATTATCAATCCGTGTATAAATTCTGCCTATTTTCGTTTAGTATCAAGAAGTCCAATGTCTGTGTAAGGTAGACTGTAGCGGAGTTAATTTGATTTCGAAACATTTATATAAACCATCTTAAACTTTAAAAACGAGCTACAAAACTCCACAAAGTTAGCGAAATGGTAGAATTCCACATTCCACAAAGTTAGTGTAATGGTAGAATTCCACCTTCCACACCACAAAGTTAGTGTAATGGTATAATTCCACCTTCCACAAAGTTAGTGTAATGAAACAATTCCACCTAATTCCACCTTCCACAAAGTTAGAATGATGTTTCTGATTAGTTATCTTCCCCTGATCGATTAGGCTGAACACGAAACAAACTGTCGCAATTTCTTTGTTAATGCATCTGGGAAATCTTAATTGATGTCGGTCCAAGTACTGAACATAATATGTTAAAACACCAGAGGTTGTTTGTAATATTTTGATTTGGATACGAGTACCATTGAAAACTATCGCCCATAATTGCTATCAGGTGTGGCGATGGTTAGTTGGGTGATGATGTTCGTTAAAACGTTACCGTCGCTTCGAGAATAAGGTGAAACAGGGAAATTCTCGGTCTTATGGAAATCATACCAACAATTCTGTGTGTCTTATTTCCGGCTCACGTCATATTGGTTTAAAAAACATTAGTGTGATACGGAAGCTTTGCGTATTGTTATGCTGGCGTCCCAGTTCCAGGAACCACCTTTCCTAAACATCTATTTAATGCAAATAAAGTGAGCAATTGAATACACGGAACAAAATAACACCCAGGTTTAAAAGACTGTAATGATTGGTCGAAAACACCTCAAAATATATCTTCTTCATGAAATTTGAAAGTTTTACTCAGATTTCGTTTTATTGA